AACAGGTACAGTATTTAACCAATATTCATGCCATGTTTAAAGAATGCAAGCAAAAAATGCATTGTCCCATAGAATAAGTAGATTTCTTTTTCAAGGCAAAATTCCTAGTAAAACTAGTCCCTAAACTACTGAAATGGTGACTTGATAGTGTACACGTTCCAGAAGATCATCCAATGGAAGATTTTTTTGTCGTTACATCAGTGCCACGTAAGAGTCAGAGTAGCTGAACAGCCCAGTGCTTAACAGTATATTAACATTAAAAATAAATTCCAACTCCTCCAAGAAATGTTGTCACAGATACGATATGTAATGCTAGGTAGGAAAATGGGCTTATACATGAGGGAAAAGATTAAGATTTCTGTCACAAACTTGTATACCCATGAGATTTTTCATATTAAAAAGGGATTGTGAAGGAAATGCACCTGGACAGTCAGTTCTGAGACATGTAATACGCTGTCGACATGTGTAACGTGGAAACCCACACTGCAACACACTACAGCTTTCGAAGACTCATTAATTATAAAAATATAGCTAGGCTGTACCAAGTCAACCAACTTCTTAGGTACAGCACAACTTCTGAAAACATGAAAAAAAGGGTAAATTTAACAGCCAGTATTCCAGTACACACGTTTGCAATTCCATTTCACTACTATTAGACAGGTGAAAGCCTACGTGATCAAAAATCACTTAGCTTAGTTTTCAAATCTTGCTTTTGAGAAAGTATCGTGATTGGTTTGGTACTCTACAGTTGGTTTCACCTTCTCTCCACATTTACTAATAAAAGCTACAGCCAAACCAATATCCCATCGAAGTGTCAGCTACCGCTATCCACGTCAAGCTGTCATTTCATGAAATACCGGGATCAAACATTGGTGTGTTGAAGCCTGTTCTGAGCAACTGCTCAAAACGCTCAAATTCAGGAAGTGATACAGCTTTTGCAGCTCGATGATGGATGCAGACATATGGTTACACAAAGCTGTTAAGAATTAATGCAGTTAAACAAGAGACTTACGGCAGCCTATACCATCTGAAAGTTTATCCCTTTATTTTGAAAGCATTGCAGGCCATAGAAAACTAGGCTATTATTTGTAAAACCTATACATTCTTACCTGATCAAGCTGGGCTTTTTTTTTTTTTATTTGCCTACTTTTTTTAAATGGGTGAATTTTAAAAGTGGTTTTATTGCCACTGATGGGGAAAGTCATTATGGAACTCCTGAAGTATCTTTAATTTTGTGCTGCAAGTATGAACAACAGGAAGAGAGCAGGAGGAATGAATAAAAAGCAAATGCAAAACTGAGGACCATGTTTACAGGAGCTTTCTTCTACTTATGGACACATTGACTCAGCTACCAGCAGAGTGTAGCTTGAAAGAGCGTAACAAATAGTTATGGGGTCCCAAAGCCTGCAGCATTAACAGCAGAAGGTCCATTCATCCACATTTCTCTCCATTTAGTATATAGAATACTAAGGGAGAATATGACTTGCTTAAAAACAGAAATTCTGTTTTCCCAGGAAATTCCATTTCCCTTGTAATTCTTTAAAATGGATTTTACATGATGTAAACCTACTGCACACGAGGATGCAAATAAATTGAAAGTATGTTAAAAAAGGTGGAGCACGTAAGGTATGTAGGGTATTTATATATCCATATGGATAGACACACGTTTGAACTTGCTTGTTAAATAAGAACTTTATCCTGGCATTCAAACACTGCTCATTTTGCTGTCCAAGTTCAGAGTTCTGCATACAAAAACCACAGATGGCACGCTAGTAGCTACAGCTATCTAGAATTCCTCATCCACTGAAGTGATTGTTCTCAGTATTACACTAGTAAGAGCTCCACTTGTTGGTTCAGAACACATCAGGGAACACCTGTTCCATTTTTAGAGGACCATTTGCAGGCACACATTTTTGTAAGCTTGTACCCTATCACTTCACAGCATCTGACATAGTCAAATTTATTTAAAAAGAAAAAAACAAAGGTGGCATTATTAGAGGTTAATAGAATCTTTTAGGCAGACCTTAAGAGCTGGAACTTTCAATAGGGGCCCAAGGGAGTAAGCGACCACACTCCCTCCAAGTCAATGAGGAAACAGGATCTTGAAATGAAGGTAAAGAAGCACCAAAACAAATTTCATATATACAGCACTTGTGTTACTTTCTTGGTGTTTGGGGACGGTTTCTTTGGTAATGTATTTCCTACCACTTAAAGCATGAAGTAGGATTTCAAGTACTGCTAGAGACAGAACTCCGAGCTCAAGTCCAATTATACCTGTTGGAAAACAGTAAGATTCTTAGAAGTCCCTATGTAACTTCAGAAAGGCTTTACTATGTTGGGCGTTTCTCTTGGCGTTATTCCAGATCTGCCAAGGTAGGTAGACGAGCATCCACACATTTCAACAGTCCACAGGACTGCCTGTTTACATATATAAAGTTTTGGCACAATAAATAACGGTGTACGTTTTGCATGACTTACATACGAAAACATTGTTTTTCTTTCAGCTGCAACCCCAAATTAAGAAACTATTTCAAGCAGAAAAAGAAAACAACGTTACTGCATGTATTGCTGCTTGGACAAAAGTATCATCTTTAAAACTATCCTGTTTTCAGCCACAAATCTTTACTGATGGAGAACTGAAACCAAAAATAAGGTCTTGATTTCTAATCACAGTGTTTTACTTATGCTGTTCAAAAGAAATAATATTTTAAAAATATTTTAATTCAAAGGTACAACTATGATTTGAGACAGATTTTAAAGCTTGTGGTTTGTTTCTCCTAAGATTTCTCCTGTAGATAAATTTAGTTCTTAGACTATCATCCTCAGAAACAAGAACTATGCATATCTACATGGAAATAATTTTCCTCAGACACCTACAGTGTGTACTGGCTTCTCCTACTACACATATCCAACTACTTTGAAAAAAGATTCATAATTTTGAGCGTTGTAGAACAGGACAGAAAACACATTCTAATGACTATCAAATATATACAGCACCTTGGTAATTTTACAATAGTCTGCTGTTTGCATATTCTCCACAGCTGAGATGTTAAGTTATTCAGCCATTTCACCGTCCATTCACTTTTATATTTAACAATTCAAATACCAAAGGTACAGGAGTAAAAAAAAAAAAAAATCCCCTCTTGCCAACTTTGTTTTTATTTTAATCCGATCTCCGGCTTTTACACATGAAAGACAGCAAAAGAATCAGCAAGTACTGAAATCCTTAGCAAAATACCTTTTATTCCATCCCTCCACAGCCAACAGGTATTGAAACAAACCTTAGTTTCAAAGACAAAAATGCAAGTCTACAAGTGTTCTTCCATATTTATGTTTATGTACCTTTTTATTCTAGATGTAGAATTGCATGTTAATCACTTCATGAACTCAGATTTTTGTATCTGTGTTACTGTATGCGCCATAACGAACAGTGCCGAATTTAACACGTGCTACCCAGTAGATCCAGTCTAAACCGAACACTTGAAAAATTAACACACACAGTGGACTGAGAACACCTCTGTTTGGCTAGTCAGTGCATGGTAGGTAAGGTTGTAAGCAAAGGGCAATAGCTCTTCTACTCTAAATCCCTATGGAGACACTCCAACTACAATAAATATATTCATGGGAGCAAGAGCAGAAATAGCTGTTACCCTTCAAGTTTACACCCCCATTTACTGTGCATCAAATTTCTTTGTAGAATGGAACATATGATCTAGCATAAAAAACATGAATCTATATAAAAGTTAAATATTTGATTACAGTAGCAAGTCACCACTTCGTAATGGGAAATAACTCGTCTCTTGGAATCATTATTGATCTGAATTCTCTTTTTTTTGTTGCGTGTTGGATACAGGTAATTCAAGACTTGCCCATAATAGGGGCTCTGCTTTTCTCATAGTAAGTTCAATCTTTGTAGCTGTCATGTTCACGTAACTCCTCTTTACATCGATTACCTAGAACAAAAAACATATTTCACACTTCAATTTAAGAAACAGACTGCTAGATATTTGGGAATTAAGTTAGGAAGAGTATCTTATCACTAAATTTCAGTAGATGTTTAGGTAGATGGAGTTCCCTTTGTTACCTGGAAAAGTCAACCCTCTCCCATTCCCAAGCCATGAACATATGCCTGTGTAACATATACATTGGTTTGACACATACATAAGCATGCAATTACATAGTGTCAAGGGTTTCTGCAATACCACTATTGTAGCATTGGGACCTTCGGACAAACCGGGACAGGAATGACCTCAGGAGGTCACCTTCTGCTCAAAGCAGCATCAACTATGACATCATACCTGATCACTTGGGGCATTAGGTTCAGATTAAAGTGTAGATTACTGAATGACATCTAACTGAACTTCTTTCAATAAACAGAGTAACGAGGAAAATAAAACTGTTTTGAAAGAGAGGAAGTTGAGGGCTTGTGTTTTGTTGTGGTTTGTTTTTTTTTTTTTTAATAGAAAAATTATTCTTATACTTACTCCCCATAATTTCACACTGCGATGAAATTCCTTTTCTCCTTCAAATACAATATGGATATTTAACTTAACAGGAAAAAGAACAGAACATTTTGTCAGGCTAATAAAACAGACACAAGCATGTTTAAGCAAAATATAAAGGATATATAGGATATATGGATATATACATACAAGGATATATGAGGGGATAAAACCAGGCTCGCTAGAGATGAGCCGAGGGGTGGCATGCCGATGCCGGGGGCGAAATCGATAGCCCAGCTCAAGTGCATCTACACCAATGCACGCAGCATGGGCGGCAAACGGGAGGAGCTGGAAGCCATTGTGCAGCGGGAGAGATATGACTTAGTCGCCATCACAGAAACATGGTGGGGTGACTC